CACCCATGCTGGCTGGGGAATTCTGGGAGTTGGAAGTCCACACCTCTTAAAGTGGCCAAGTTTGAAAAACACTGCTCTAAACCATCCTTTACAAGCCTCTTAGCCCTACCTATGGCATGAAATCTAAAATGTATTAGCATGCTGCCTAGCTTCTCAAGTTCAGATAGGTCTTAGAAGCAATTCACGGAATATCTACTGGTACACATCAAGCAACAGGAGAAGAATCAGTCAAAGTTACAACTTGCAAATCTGGAGAAAGACACAATGGCCAACAATTGGAAGGGGTCGGTCTACACACCAATACCAAAGACAGAAGACTTAACAGAGGGTGCAAACTATCATTCATTATCTTTAATTTCACAAGCCAGCAAACTAATGCATAAGATCATCCAACACAGATCAGAACCTTACATGGAAAAAGAGATGCCAGAAGTTCAAGCTGGCTTTAGAGAAGGCTGAGGAATACGAGACATTACTGCTGATGGACGCTGGATAACTGAGAAACCCAAAGAATATGAAAAAGAAGTAAATATGTGCTTCATTGATTATAGAAAGGCCTTCAACTGTGTCAACTTCATCAAGCTGTGGAATGTGGTTAGGAAAATGGGAATCCCAGAACATCTCATGTATTCATGTGAAACCTATCCAAGAGCAGGAAGCCACAGTCTAGACGCGACATGGCTCCAGGTCAACAAAGGAACAAGACAATGCCATATACTCTCTTTATTTGTTCAGTCTATTGATTGGAAGATGAGTGTGAACGCTGGAGGAAAAAACATCAATAACTCCGCTATGCTGATGACTCCACTCTAAGAGCTGAAAATGGAAATGACCTCCAAGCTCTAAGAGTGAAAGTCAAGCAGCACAGTGAAAAAATAGGACTAAGATGAAATGTAAAGACCAAACTAATGACAACAGATACAGCCTTTACAAGCCTTTTAGCCCTACCTATGGCATGAAATCTAAATAAATGTATTAGCGTGCTGCCTAGCTTCTCAAGTTCAGATAGGTCAGTTGACAATGAAGAACGGAAGTGAAGAACGGATTCAGTTGACAATGAAGAATGGAAGTGATGGATATCTTCTGCCTTTTAGGATCAACTGTCATAATAAAGGAACCAGCAATCAAGAAATACACTTCACACTTGGAAAAAGATATTCACATGTTGTGATACGTCTATACTTGACATATCTAATACACATAGAATTGTGCAAGCAGTGGTTTTCCCTGATATTTTATTGATGTGAAAGCTGAACTTTGAAGCAGGATAGAAAGAATATTAACACTTTTGAACTTTAGTGTTGGAAAGCCCACTTGAGAATATAATGGATATCCAAGAAAATAAACAAATGGATCATAGAACAAATGAATCCTGAGCCTCATTGAGGCACAGATATTCAGGTTCAAATTATCATATTTTGGACACATTATGAGAAGACCCAGCTCCCTGGGTGGAAGGAAAGACAAGGAGAAGACATCCAGCAACAAGGTGGTTGGACTCAATTGCAGCAATGTTAGGCTCACCATTGCAACACCTGAAGGACCATATTGGGGGCAGATGATCCTGGAATTCTGTCAAGGTGGTTGCTAAGAATTAACACTGCCCTAATGGCATATAATCAATCAAGCCCTATTGAACTTTGTTTAGTTTTGGCTTAGCATTTGAAGCAACTGCACTGCAGCCATTGTTATTTGTAAACCATGATTGTCACTTAGCACGTTTATTTTTTTATGTTTATTTATTATTACATTTATATGATGCCCATCTCCCCCAAAGGGTGACTCTTTGTGTAATGTGAACCCAGTTGATTGTGCCTCATTCAACTAACCATGATTAATAAATTGATTAATAAACCTAAGTTGACATCTAGAGTTGGTGATCTTTATGGTTGACTGAAGATTTGATTACTAGTACTCCCATGCTGCTCCACTCCAAAACAGCTGAAATCCAGATCTTAATGTAAATCCAGTATACCAACAGACCACATTCTGAGTTCTAAAGGAGTGAGGAAGTTAGTTTGCTACAGCATCTAACCATTTATAACATTCTGTAGGTTAAGTATTTCAGTCAAGAAGCCTGTGCTGTATTTCTGTTACTTAACGGCCCCCAATCTTGAGCCGTTTATCTTATAAAATACATCAGGGAAAAGTTTCAGGAAGGGTGTTCCATAAGCCCTGTAGTTCTGTGTTTTATAAATGATGTTTTGTGGCAGGTCTCCACTTGTGAATCTCTGCATGTACTTTATGGAAAATTCAGTTAGATTTATCATGAATAATCTCGATGATCTATGTGCAGAGATTTGAAAGAATGCCCAGAGGAACAAGGCTAAACAAGTTAACCTTTCTGTAAACAAAGTCTTACAATTGATTCTTCTTTAAGTCCCTAACAATTATGCATTTCCAAAAATAATCATAAGCAAACAGATTTTATTGCACAATCACCCTGGCTTCCCAAAAAGGTTCCAGTTTCTAAAAACAAAATCAAGATGAAAGGCATATTGTTAGATCTTAGTAAAGAAATCATAAATTTGGAAAATGCTGCATGAATGATTTGCTGTACAATATCTAATTAGGTTTGCAGCAATAATTTTACTAATTAAATTTGTTATTTTCCTACCGCATTTTTTTAGATGGGCTGGGATCCCGAGGTTTGGGTAACATTTTAACATCCAGATTAATGCCAAAGGCAACAGACAGGTATGGAAATTACAAATGAAGAATTAATTCTCAGTACCATATTACCAGTTTCCCATTTCCCCCAGTGGTACTTTTTAAGGCAAGCAACTTAAATTTGGCTTTCTTTGAAAGAAGAGTGTTTTGTAATTTTTTTGGCTAATTTACAAATATGTCAGCAGAGAATAGAAGAATCGTTTACTTTTATGAACAGAAAGCCCAACGGACCACGTTAGATCCCCCGAGCATTGTCCTCAATTGTACTTACTGCTGCAACTCCTCTCTTTCTCTTCTTCCTTCTGTCTCAGAGACTGCAGTTTCCTCGCCTAAAGACAGAGCTGAACAGTCACTGAAAAATAAAACGTAAAATAGGAATTGAAGGAAAGAGCATGTGCCAGGCTGAGGGGGAAAAAAGTTTAATCTGTAAAAGTCCAAAGGATTAAAGAGTTTGAAGAGGAATCAGTGCCAACACCGTACTATTGTATAAAATGTAAGTATTATGAGGTGAGTAGAAGAAAGCACGTCTGACCTAGGAAGAAAATAAGTAAGTGTTTGACATCAGCTGCCTACTTCAAGTGGCTTTCTCCAGTGACAGCTTCTTAAGCAATTTTGCCTCCCAGCTTTACTCTGCAAGTTCTAGCTGCCTACCCGATAACATCATCCTTTAGGAGCAGGGCGTAAAAAGAATGTTGCCCTAGGTAGTAAGATTACTCTTTGAGTGGTTGTAACCAGAGATTACATCCAAAGGTCTATCTCTTTTGGAGTAAAACAAGGGCAAATGTGACCCCAGATGTTAGAAAGAATGACACTTGGACCATTTATAAAAAGTGAGATTTGAGCAGCAATTTGAGGAAGAAGCTGGCGGTTTACAACTGACCTACTAATGCCAAGTTTTGAAAGCTTTTTTGGAGGTTGGGGGGTGGCCAAATCTCAGTCGATCAAAACAGGTTAGTTTAACTAACTGCCCCGATCTGGTAGTTGATGATTTACTTATTAAATGTGTATGGTGGTTAGAGTTAGAGGTTCTAAGCACCATAGGAACTGTTACAATAAAACCATAACAGAATGGCAACCAGTCATTATTGAATGATCAGGTAACGGACAAATCCTCTTCTTAAAACTTGCCAGATAACACACCACAACCTGGGCATAGCAATAAAACTAATTCTGTGTTCTCTGGATATTGGCAGTATTATAACTGCCTTCTGGAGGAGGAAGAGGAAGGAGAAGGAGAAGGAGAAGAAGAGGAGGAGGAGGAGGAAGAAGAGGAAGAGGAGGAGGAGGAGGAGGAGGCCTCTTAACTGCAGTGTAAGAGTATTCTGGAGGGTATGGCCATTAAAAAGCTCTTTTCTAGCCCCCCCCTTAACATGAAATCATTCTCTCTAATGTCCTTAGGAGGGATCAGGGAGATCCACCGTGGTCTATTGTCAGCCACAGAAGCTGTCAAAGTGACATTAAACTTTGTCAGCCCAAATAACCCTGTATGTTGTTGCAGAGAAAAATGTGAGGAGGAAGCACTAC